TTTATATAATTTTATGTATAAATTGTTCGAATGGGTTATTAAACTTTGCTATGATCTTCTTGAACTAGATGTATATATTGAACTAAAAAGGGTTAATAACATTTTGTACCCTTCTATTATGGTAAATTAACAAACGTACCCCTCTATTAAATTTGTGCACAAATATATCTTTCTAATATTAAAACGTAACGAGTTTATCACCCATCTAATTATCTGTTAAGTGGTCGTTAAAAGAGCTGTAAAATGACTCAATTGTTCCTCATTTACTCCAGGCACTCCTAATTTTAGGTTTTAATTATTTTATGCCCCAAATCAATTAATTAAAAAAAATCTACCCGTAAACTAATTAGCACCCACTCGACCAAAAAGGCAGAAACCGTCCCTTAGTGATTTGTCCCTCGACTCGTCGGCGGCGCATGCTCTCGGCATCTCCTCACCGGCGGCTGGACTAGAGAGAACCGTTTCAGAAAGGCGGAGGTTGTAATCGATGCCAAACTCTCAGGCCGCACTGCCGCGGAGCCTCCTCATCCTCCAACTCACTGTTATCGTTGCCGGTGCCGGAGCTTTTAGCATTGTCGTTGGCACTAGTCCCCCCACCACGACGACTCTTGTGCTACCACCATCCGATCATCTCGACCAGGATCCGCTCCCTTAGCCGGGTCCGAGTGCTGATCTTCGTAGTTATCCAATTGCCCAATCTTGGTGATCTGAAACGCGAGTTTGCCGACTGACGTACGGAAGGACCAGAGCTAGAAGATGGCCATCGTCCGAAACATCATTAGGAACCTCCTGGACACCGACATCCATGTTGGGACTTTTGAGGATGAGGGTACACGTACGATAGCCCGAGACCGGGTGATTAGGATTATGATAGAGTCGTGAACTACGTTCACTTTCCGTAAAGAATATTTCCACCCTCAACAAGCCTAGGGTTACGGTTACAGGAAATTTCTTCGTAGGATAAAACTATCCCCACTTTAGGTTCCAGTCTTAAGTATCTAAAGCATACTTAGAACCTAGTAGGAAGAAGAATGAATTTTTTGGTGTTGTGTCATTTTTCATCCACCACCACCAATCGGATCCCTCTAATTTATAGAGTATCGAGAGATGCATTGAAGGGTTGTGTCCCTCCAATTTTGTGGCGGTTACTTTTCAAAGTCCATGAAAAGTAGCATCATTTGCAAGCAAACCGCAAATTACATGCCATTAGCAGAGGACGTGTTCTTCCATGAAAAGTTGCATCACATGGAATGGATATAATTAATTTCAATTTAAACTCAATTTAAACGTTGCATGAATGGATAGGGATTAGTAGTTTAATAAGTCCAATCCAATCCAAAAGAGCTATTATTCATGCGACCGTTTAAATTACCAAATTATATCTCCAAACGTAGGCTAATTATTTTAATTAGTGTCAAATAATTTAACCAACTTTTTTCACCTTCATCAAAAAAAAATAATTTAACCAACTTGGTCTAACCCCAAACCGATTCGATCCGGTTATTTTGGTTCGACCAAATTTCCAACATTCCTCCCCCATTTTAGTGTATTCAACGAATCCACTAAAATTACAACATTCTTCCAACAAAACTTAAGCATAAATGAAAATGTCGTGACGATTGAATTTTCACCTTAATATATTACACTTGACAAATATTCGAATACAAAGGGTGTCGGTAACGATTGAACCCATTGACTCATATGAATATTCGAAGATAATATACACTTAAGTTTTCAAAACTTCTAAGCGCCTTGACACTATTACCCGCCATGTGTCCAATCCTTCTCATAAGCGCACACGAAACCAAAGTCCGGGTTTCTTGAAGCGGCTACACTTCATGCTTACGTAGGTCGAATCTCTTATTCGTGTACCCGCATCATACACTTTTTCAAAGATTCAATTAAAAAGTTTTGAACTTCATCCTCTTCTCTCATGCAGGATAACAAGCACATACCTCTGGATGACAAATTTTGTGCTTCAATTTCTGATAATAAGCTTTCCACATTGAATTCAGCCTCTAACGTTGTATTAGAGGGGAATTGGGTGTCCCATTACCAGAAATTATATGGACTTTAACCCATCCCTTTCACATACTTGATCACCAAGTCACTAGTTAACCACTTCGTCAAATGATCAACCAAATTATTTCGAGTCTGGTCATACTGTCTAGACACAACTCTATGAATGATCAGTTCACAGATTTTACCGTGCCTCACTCCTACATGACCGTACTTGTCATTTTCACTTGACTATATGTCTTAGTCAAATTAGCATTACTATCACAAAAGATAGTAATAGGTGAGATTGGTTTAGGCCATAAATATATGTCATAAACCAAACCTCTCAACAATTATGTCTCTTCTCTAAGAGAAACCAAGACCACAAACTTTGATTCCATAGTGAAACTTAGTGATGCAAGTTTGCTTTCTAGAGGACCAAAATATGGCACCTCTCCCAAGCAAGAGGACTCATCTCAATGTTGAAGTATCACCTTTAACATGAGAAATCCAACTAACATCAACAAATCCTTCCAAAATTTATGGAAAGCCACTATAACTCAATACAGTGTGCCTTTGACATATCTTAGTACATATCTCACTTCATTTCAAATGATGAGCACTATGATTCATCATGTACCGATATCTAGCATATGCGATATCATGCAAGTCATGCATACATTGAGCCCCCCAATTTGACATGAAATACTCCAGTTGTAAAACTGATTTCCAGTATTCACCATAAGTTCCATACTTGGATCCATTGGGGTATTTAACTCACTATAATTCCTACTATGGATTTTATGCAAGTACCTTCTCGTGCAGAAAAATTGAGAGAAGGACTCTTCTTTGTTGTTCCGCTTGATTCAATACACAAAATCATATTTGCCTCCCCCATGTCCTACATGGAGAATTGAAATAACAACTTTTTATCAAAGATCACTTATCTTTTATTGGTTCCAACGATAAGCATGTCTTATACATACAAATGTACGATGACTTCATTACCAGAATCATCATAAATTGTGTACACATTTTGTCTTCTTGGTTTAAAATAACATAAACCACTAGACAAAATCACTTATCTTTGATTGGCCTCAAAGATAAATATGTCATCTACATACAAACACAACGACTCTATTACCAGAATCAACAAACATTGTATATACAATTTTGTCTCCTTGGTTTAAAATAACATAAACCACTAGACAAAATCAAACCACCAAACAACTAGACAAATCAAACTTTATCTAGAACTTCAAAACGTCAAATAGATAATTAGACAAATTAACCATTGAGTATGTGACCTACACAAAGGCAATTGTCATTCTTCTATTTCTCCATTTTACGAAGTCTTCTCCAATTCTTCCTCATCCTTGAAACACCCCTCTTCCAAATTACCTTCCGGATATGGAATACACCATGAGACTAGTACGAAGAAAACCCATCTTCTACTGCCATCGATGAAAAACCCATCATCGAACATTCTCATGATTCCATAGACCGGAACCGATTTCTTGTAAAGAGCGGTTCGAGCCATCGTACCGGAAAAATATTCTTTACGATTGTTGGGACTTTTGATGATGAGGGTACACGTACGATAGCCCGAGACCGGGTGACTAGGATATTGATAGAGTCGTGAACTACGTTCACTTTCCGTAAAGAATATTTCCACCCTCAACAAGCCTAGGGTTACAGGAAATTTCTTCGTAAGATAAAACTATCACCACTTTAGGTTCCAGTCTTAAGTACCTAAAGCATACTTAGAACCTAATAGGAAGAAGAATGAATTTTTTGGTGTTGTGTCATTTTTCATCCACCACCACCAATCGGATCCCTCTAATTTATAGAGTATCGAGAGATGCATTGAAGGGTTGTGTCCCTCCAATTTTGTGGCGGTTACTTTTCAAAGTCCATGAAAAGTAGCATCATTTGCAAGCAAACCGCAAATAACATGCCATTAGCAGAGGACGTGTTCTTCCATGAAAAGTTGCATCACATGGAATGGATATAATTAATTTCAATTTAAACTCAATTTAAACGTTGCATGAATGGATAGGGATTAGTAGTTTAATAAGTCCAATCCAATCCAAAAGAGCTATTATTCATGCGACCGTTTAAATTACCAAATTATATCTCCAAACGTAGGCTAATTATTTTAATTAGTGTCAAATAATTTAACCAACTTGGTCTAACCCCAAACCGATTCGATCCGGTTATTTTGGTTCGACCAAATTTCCAACAATCCAACCCTTGTTCAGCACGTACGAATTCGACTCTTGAGGGAGTAATCACCAGGGAGACAGACGGTTTCCGAATTAGTTTAGGGTTTTGATGTTTTTAATATATTGAATTGGGGATAAAATCATTAAAACCCAAAATTAGGAGTATTTAGGGTAAATGAGGGGCAATCGAGTCATTCCACAACACCTTTAATGGTTGCTTAACAAATAATTAAATAAAAGGGTAAACTCGTTACACTTTAATATTAGAAGGATATGTTTATCTAGAAATTTAATAGAGAGGTACGTTTGTTAATTTACTATAAAAAGGGTACACAATGTTATTAACCAAGGTTGTCAATTAACATTGTCAATCAGCAAATACGAAGTATATAACAATATACATGGCTTTTGCATGTCAAATCACAAATGAAAAATGAAAAGACCTTTACAGGTCTGACAAAATAGGGCTTTCTTGCCACAATATGGGCTGCCCTATGATACCTGAACGTCATGGACAATATCATGATTTCTTCCCCTTAAAATGATCAAAATCATGAACTAACCATGCTGGAAATTGAAGCAGAACAACAAACCATTGTAAATCTGGCCTCAGTTCAGCACAAAAGGCCGTAAAGCCTCCATTTTGTGTAGAAGTTGATAGCATATTATGAATATACAGTTCTCCAAAATATATGCCCTTCCATTCCAAGAGTCAATAACTTTAAGGAATCTAAGGAATGTAACAAGTCAAAAGCTAGTAAATAATAATAGTAATATATGTACTAATAATTAAATGTTCAAATTCGAGTCCCAACATCAATTCCGTACTGTTCCAAATCATGCAAAAACTCAGGCAGAGTTTGTGGTTGGTATGAAAGCCTACGAGTTGCATGAAATTTTGTGAAGGCAGCACAACCGACCAATGGAACGCAACGCAATCCCATTGTGTGATGGAGAAAAAATAACTCAAGAAAAATGAAATTGGGGTCACGACTCGTTCTGGTACCCACTGTCCACAATGATTGAAAATGATTGCCTCTGCCCTAACCCATAAACGTGAAATATCTACATTACCAAATTGCTAAACCAGAAGTTTCATCACCGACCACCACAATCCACCGCGAAAACCATATCCGACCAACCACCGGACGCCGATCGATAACTCCCGTCGTTTCATCATATTACCCGTCGGCCGGGTAAAGGAAAAGTACAAGCGATAGCCAGCCCCATCTTGTACCTTGTGACCTGTGAGCATGTGCACATCCTTTTTTAGGTCACCGTCAAACTCTTCTTGCAACTTGCAGTAGACAATCCGATCCCAGCCGTCTCTATAACAAATCACAAGAGGGAGAAAGAAAGAGAAAAGAAACAGTTGCTATAAACTATCTTATGGCACACGGAATTCATAAAAGAGAAAGGGCATCGAAGATTGGAACCTCATTTTAAAATTGCTTCCTGACACACAACTTGTATATCATTGATGACAACAAGTTGACAACCCCTCTTTGTCCCAACGATGCATCATCACTTGCTACCAGCTGCAGCTCCAGAGCACAATTAACCAACAAGAACACAAAGTCACAATCATACCCTAACCAAATAAGCAAAATAATAGAACACTTCGAACTCATCCCCAATTTCCCGGTTCGTGTCACCTCTGTCATCGTTTTAAATTATCCATTATAACTAGTGTTGATTCGGTTATGGTACTCACAAGTCATCTTTAAATACGTGCTCACAACACTACGTTACTTTAAGATCAATTAGAGAAAAACGCCTCACAACTATCGGATAGACACAATAATATTTCAGATAATAAAATATCACAGTGTAATAAAATACCACTCTGATTATCCAACAATTGTGAAACGTTCCTTCTCACTCAAACTATCATGATCGTTGTAAGCACGTTCTCGTAGAGATGCTTGCGTGGGTGTGTATATAAATTGTTTATATGATCTATCCAGTTACTAGGCGCTGTAGTTAACCAACCCACGAACCACCACCGTGGTACAAGAGTAAAATGCCAAGATGTGCTCCGGAGGTCTCTCTATTTCCTATTCAATTTCCGGTAACTACTACTTGGGGCATGTTTGAGCGCAAGTAACCTAACCGCTCGGCCAAGGTATTGACGTCTTCCTGTTCTTCCCCTCCGCCCTCGCCGGTGCTCTCGCTCAGCAATTCTTCCCAGAACCCGTCGTCGAGTTCCCGGTCCGACATCGATTCAAAACCGTCGTCTTCCGCCTCTTCATCCTCATCCGCTTCCTCCTCTCTCTCCTTCCTAATCCCCTTCCCGTACCCCTGCATTTCAAGCGCCAGGGACTCCAGCTCCGTAAATCCAAACGGCGATTCTCCGATTCCGTAATCCAGAGGCTCCGATTTCACTTGCCAATTGCTCGATTCACCAACGGCGAAATCAGAACTCCGACAACCGCGACCGCGGCCCTGGTCAATCGGCCGCCTCCGCTTCTTCCTCAGGGCTTCCTCCAGTTCTTTCCTCTTCTCCTTCTGCTGCGCCAGCTGATGCAAGAAGGCCGGGTTCCGAACCGCCCCAGCCAGGAACTGCATCATCTGTTGCTGCTTCGTCTCCGTTCCTTGCAGCCTCTGCTCCAGCTCTGCCACGTAGGCTTTTGTGCTCTGCTGCTGCTGTCGGAGCTTCACTAGCTCCATGGTTAGCACCTGTTTGTCTCGCTTCAATCGGTCGACTTCCCCGTCGAACCAGACGACGTTATTGCTCCCCGACGCTTGATGATGATGAAATTGATAGGGAGGAATGGATAGGGCCTGAGAATGGAAAGAAGAAGGATGAGGAGAAGGAGGATTAGGAGGAGCTTTCCTTCGCCGGATGTTCTTCAGCAGATGCTTGTGACCTCGGAGGAACTCCTCGTTGCCGAATTCCCATCGCTCCGGATCGATCTTGCGGAAACCCTGTAGATCTCAAGTGAATTTTTTTTTCTTTTAAAAATCATTATTACAATTTGGGAAAGAGAGAAAATATCTGTGGCAGATAATAATATAATAATCAAAACAGGAGCTCTTCTAGCAAATCGTCATCACTGTAGCTTAAACGTTGAAATGAAGTCGATTCCAGCCAATTAATCATTGCCTAAAAAACAATGAACAAACACCAGAGGAAAACACAGAAGAGAGACGGGTGATCAATTTGGAACCAGAGGATCAATTTGCAGAGACGCGGAGATGGAGGCGATGGCAAGAAGAAGAGATGTGAATTCACACAGACAGGAATTAATAATTGAAGGCAATTGATTAGGTGAATGATACTCACGTAAGTGTTGAGCTGGCGGACGAAGCTGGAGAAGTTATTGTGCTTGAAGAACCGAGGGAGGAGGTTAGTGGAGAAGGAATGAGCATCCCAGACAACGAAGCTGGTGCCGCCTCTGCTCCACGAGACGACGTGGTTTGTGATCGGATCGTCCACCATCTCGAATGTCTTGGTCAGGAATGGCGGCGGTCCGACCTCGTGGAGACCTTCGATTGGCTGCGGCGCCGGTGGTGTCACCGTCATCATCGCCGCCGGCGGTTCATACTGATGATCACCGGATCCCCCAGAGTACTCTTCCTTTACGAGGAAGAAACGATTCATTTATCCGAGTCTCTCTCTCTCTCTCTGTCTCTTCTATCGATTCCGGTCCTCAGTCAAGCTTCCAATCCACTAGTCCTCCCGAATCTAAGTTAGGGCGAGGCGATGAAATGCCGGGAGGAAGAAGCAGAAGAAAAAGCTGGAGAAAAGCAGGACGCACATAGGAGAAATTCAGTTAATAAGGTTGCAGATCTTCTCTGATTAGAAGACTGTTGGAGGCGATGAAAATTTTTGGGCTGGTCTTACGAAGGGCAGGAAATGGGGATTGGATTCCTTATATAGAGGGACGCCGACGGACTGGTTGGCTGAAGAAGAAGAGTGGTCTAATTTACCAAAAACCCGCTCAGAAACTTCTAGATCTATCGTATACAAAGGGGTAGAAGCTTGGAAGTTGAAGTTTTCCCTTTTTTTATTCAAATTTTTGTGGATTTATGGCAAGGATGACAGACCACTAGGGTTGCAAACGAGCCGAGTCGAGTCGAGTCGAGTCGAGTCGAGTCGAGTCGAGTTTTTGCTTAGTTTGAGCTCAGCTCGTTTATAAATTTCTTAGCTCGAGCTCGGCTCGAACTCGAATTTTCATCATCCAGCTCGAGCTCGACTCGATTAAACATAATTCAGCTCGAGCTCCGCTCGATAAAGCTCGGTAAATGCTCATTAACACAGCTTGTCAAGCTGAGTACAAGCTCGGCTCAAGATAAGCTCGATTTGAAAACATTTTTGCTGAAAAATGTGTACAAATAAGAACATTGGAAATTAAAAATGATAAAAAGAACACTAAAAACTAAAAATAAAACATCTAACTTCCATACACATCCTTATTAACAAGAAAATTTTCATGTTCAGAAAAGTAATTAATCCTTCCACAAGCTTTAAACAAGCCAGCTCGCGAGCTTAGCTCAACAAGCCACCGAGTCAATCTAGCTCACGAGCTTATCAAGTCGAGCATGGCGTAGCTCAAGCTTGGCTCGTTCATTAACGAGCTAGCTCGCGAGCCGGCTTGTTAAACAACGAGTCGAGTCGAACGAGTTTTTTCCAATTCGAACGCCGAGTTGCTCGCGAGCGGCTTGACTCATTTGCAGCCCTACAGACCACTAAACATTTGGCAAAATACACTTGCATAGCCAAAACTTTCACGTTTGTGCCACTTAAAGCTACTTTTGGCGAAATATCATTAATAGCCACTTCCGTCCGATTCTTTAACGCTGTTAATGTTAAGTGTGACTAGGCAAACGGAAAGGCTTACGTGGCCCGCCTGCGTTTTACACGTGGATATAATAATTAAAAAAAACAGAAGAATCCCTATTATACCCACCCTTATTGCAGCCCTCTCTCCCTCATCTTCTCCCCCTTATCCTTGTACAATTAATCGAGAAACCCCATTCACCGCCAGCCAAAAAACTTCCCTCTTCCTTCGAACTGATTCCCACTTCCTTCGATTCCCTCTTCCTTCGACTCCTTCCCTCTTCCTTCTATTCCTCCTCTTCGTCGCTGAAGTCTTCCAAACCCCTACACCAAACGATCTCCTCCGTATTGACGCCCCAACCGCCGCCGCAGATAATTTCGCCAGAGCAATCACATAATCCACCTCCGCCGCCGCGGTAGATTTGATGTCTGCTGCGATCGATTCAGCCTCGGAGAGGGCTTCTTCGATTTGATGTTGAGGGTCTTCTCCATGCCGGCCTTGGCCGACGCCGCATGCTCCTCGGAGACCCGTATTTACTTGCCCGACACCACAAATCCTCCTTCTTCAGCGTCGTTATCCGGGAAGAGATTCTGGGCGAGATCGGACATTGGAAGATCTAAGGGGATCTGGCATAGGGCGACGATTGCGGAGACGGCATTGGAGAGATCAGACAATGATGGATTCTCTCGCAGAAAACAGATCCTCTCGCACTCCATTCCCTCGATTCAAATAGAAACCTCTGTTTTCTGGATTTCTTCGTTCTCCAATACCCAGTCAAATTTTAGCCTCTGCGATTTATTCAACGATGAGAATCTAAGATCCGGTGAGAGGAATTTAGATTTCCGACTGAATTTTCAATTGGGTATTAGTAAAGTTCGTGTCTTTTTCCTTTTGGCAGATTTCAATGGTTGTAATCCTCCAGCTATGGAGAGCAGTTCGGTGGATGAGGTCGGGGAAAAAATTGATTATTGTATTTTTATGATCTTTCCTTTTTTTTTGTTTTTTAATATAATTTAATATAGTAATTAAATATTAAATAATTAAAATATCTGACGTGTCACTATTTGCTTAGTTGTCGCTGACGTGGCTGATGATTTGGCGCCTCGTCAGCCGACCGTCAAATAAGTTGACGGAGTTATTAACACCTTCATAGTTTCTAACGGAAATGGCTATATTTGGCACGCAACATCTTTCAAAAGTGGCTATTAGTGGTATTTCGCCAAAAGTGGCTATAAGTGGCACAAACGTGAAAGTTTTGGCTGTGCAAGTGTATTTTGCCTAAACATTTTTATCTTGGTCGCTTTGATACTTGGGCTATATAAATTTGGGTAAATCCGTAAATACAATATATTAGTCATAACTATTAGGGTTTTTTTACTGCATGTCACCGTAATATGGACTTTTCGGTTGACCTAATATAGGATTAGATCGACCGAACATGTTGTTTCAGTTTTGTGAGATTCAACGACGCGGTTGACCGTCTATAGCAAATGGCCGACCTCTTTGTGAAGCGAACAAAATGAAAGGTCGACCCAAATACCTCATAGGCCGACCATTTTGCACTTAATAAGTCAACCGCATAAGTACGAGGTCGACCTCGTACGCACCGTATCCGTATTGGATAAGGATTCCAACACCATAAAGGTAACCCTAACTTATCTACCACTTAATTCGAACCATTCACGTCCTAAATATCTATAAATACGAATATATGTCACCTTCACCGCCACCAAAACTTTGAATTAGGTTTTTTTTTACGGTTAGAGCCTTTGTGAGGAAGATCGTTCGCGGTTGCTGTTCTACGTGTTGAAAATCGTTGACCACGTCGAATGTGAGGTCGACCTAATGCAACATTCGTCGTCATCTTGCCTAATATAATGCATAATTTACGCCGTCTAATTTGATGTATTGTTGCGTGCAGAATACCATTCGGTCGACCCTTATCTCAATCAGGTCGACCTCTATTTGACAATTGTTCGAAATTTCATTTAGAACACAACACTCGGACTTCTGTACTTGCGAGTTAAGAAGATCAACCCAATAGGTCGACCTAATGTTGTTCAAGGTCGACCGTTCCGGTTTGTTTTGGTTGTTCATCCCGAATGTCGACTTTGGCTTTGTTTGTAAGACTATGTTGTGCTTAAAAGGTCGGCTGCTCAAGCTGTCTGGTCGACCTATCCGTTGTTCGTGGTAATATTACACTTGCTTTTGTTGGTAAATTGGTATTTTCCTGCTGGATAGGTCGACCTAGGAAGAGCAAAGGTCGACCTTAAAGGTTCTGGTAGTGACAAATTGTCTTCAAGGTAGACCTAATAATATGTCAGGTTGACCACGTCTCTGTTTTTTTGTCAATTGTAGAAAATTGAAATTGATTTATGATTTGAATTTTTCTTTAAATTTTTTAGACGATGGCGCATGATGAGAGACAACATCACGATTTGGGTGAAATCATGAAAGTGTTGAAAGCCACACAAGAGCAACTGGTGGTGAGTAAAAAACAAGTCAATGACTATCAGAAGTGCATTCGTGATACAGTGGAGCAATTGTTAGTTCGATTGACAGATATGACTGGGATGATGCATGATGGTTTTGAGAGGCTAGAAGGTGATATCAAAGAAATAAGTGCAGAACGAATGGAGAATGGAGGAAGAGATGGTACAAGAAAGAAATTTGACTTTGATGAAGAGGAGGAAGACCATGATGACTATGCAAATTGCTACCAGAGCATAGACGATTTATTGAAAGAGCACAAGTTAAAGGTAGACAAGTATATTCATATGTGAGTAAAGATATTAGTATTACTATCATTAGTGCTAATTTGTTTTGTTTATATGTGTGACAGAGTGAAACAAGGTTTGGCAGCCAGGGTTCCTCTCCTAAGTACAAGAGACCTCGATATGAAAGTGACTCCTACACCACTCCACAAAAGGATCATTTTGTAAGAAAATGATTATTGAATGCTGATAGCGACGAAGATGAATCTAAGAGTCCTTTCGCAAATCACGGAGTAAGTTTACGTTACATATTCATCTATAATGTATGTTTGTGTTCATATGTAACTTTAATTTTAACTATGATTTGTAAGTCATGAAAGTGGAGAGTTTAGAAGGATTCACAAAAAATCTGCAAATTCCAGTTGAAGACTTATTTTATGTTGTTACTAAAGAGAAGCCTGGAGACACGAATTGGGACAAGTAAGAGACTTTTTTTAAGTAGTACATGTGGTCGACCGTTTAGCCAGTGTGGTCGACCGTTTAGCCAATACTGTCGACCTTGACTGTGAATAGGTCGATCTGTACTTTGCAAATCACAATTGACATTTCTGTTCTTTTTTTTTTTTTTTTTTTTTTGCAGTTCGATCGTTGTTGACTTTTTTTACTGAAAACGTGCAACAAAATTATTTGAGTTCGGTCATTAGCGAGAGTAGCTGGATTTACTCATTCGTAAGTACTATACTGCTACGACTTTTGTATGGATTGTGCACTATTTATGTTACGATTTATGAGGATTTTTGGGTTGATCGTTGGTTGGTAGGTAGTGGATTGGTGTGCAAGGGCACTAACAATGTTTGAAAAACATGAGGTGAAAGAGCCAACTTTGTGGTATTTTTCAAATATGTTTTCGATAAGAGCCGTAATGTTTATTTATTTGTCATACCCTAGTTATTAATATTATACCATGTCAATTAATCTCAATTAAAATATGATGCAGAAAATGGTATGCGCTAACAAGAAGACCGAACAGATTCGTAACAAGTTGATGGATGATGGCATGGTGTTTATGCCGAATGTTAGTGCATGCCAGAAGGTTAGTCAATGTCTCTATCTCATTAAACTTCCAAGTGCATTTGTTTGTATTCTCTTTTTATAACATGTAATGAGTGTTTCGTTGCTAGATATTTATGCTAGTTCTGGACGATGAAGCACGTCATTGGTTTCTGTATCTCGTCAATGTCCAGCAAAAAACTGTATTTTGCTTAAATCAAACCTATGCAAGAAATTGGTAAGTGTTTCCTATAATTTTCTGACTACTAAGTGTCACGTATTATGCTAGAA